TAATTAAATAAAAATGAACACAATGACTAATATGTTAAATTCTTTTTTTGCCAATTACTGCGTTAACAAAAGTTTATTGGCTCTGGATGCCTTCTTCACCTTTGTCTTTTGAAAGGAATTAAGGAGTGAATGAAGTGGTTCCAATGACCCTTATGGTGATAATTCATAGAGATCACGAAGCATTCAGTAAAGAGGATTTTTTTAAATCTATAATTTGGAGAGTTTGTGTATAAAAAAAATATCTATTGAATATGCTCATCGGATCCTGCTGTATGTATGAAATGTGTTTTGACAGAATATTAGACAATGTAACGTGTTAAAAAAAAAGAAAAAAAAATCCTTGGCTTCATGATATTCAAAGTCATGCGTCTAGTCCTTCGTAATTATGCAATTTAGCGCTTTGTATCCGTCATCTTTTTTTTTTCTTTTTCAAGGTCACCCTCTACATCTCACACGTATCTTATTCTTTAATACTCTCTACAAAATCCAAAGCATAATTACTATTACAAAGATTTTAAAATATCTACATTCCATTCACAATAAAAAGTAAGGTAAAAAAGTATCAATAAACTCAAAGACAAGCGTCCTTTTAAACCTCCATTTCTGAGACAGATAAGAAAATATGGCAACGCATTATCGTTATCAAGTTGACAGCAAGATAAGGGACACAAGATTAAGACTACAAATTTGCGTCTCATTTTTTAGAAAAAACTTTTACCAATAAGCGCATTGGAGATTTTCGTATTGAATAGATTAATGTGGTTTATATATATATATATATATATATATATATATATATATATATATATATATATATATATATATATATTTTATAGGATATGTGTTACTGAGATTAATAATGACATTGATTGCAGTTATTATTATAGGCTTTTATCATATTCAGTCTGAGAATAATAAAAAATAAAAAAAACAATAATAATAATAATAATAATAATAGAAATGATGAAAATTATTATTATTATTATTATTATTATTATCATTATTATTGTTATTATTGTTGTTGTTGTTGTTGTTATCATTATCATTATTGTTATTATTCTTATTGTAATTATCCTTATTATCATTGTAATTATCATTATTATTATCCATAGTATTATGATTATTATGATTACTATTATTACTATTATCATTATTATT